CCCGCAGACCCCCGGGCCTCCCTGTGCAGCCCCCGGCCCCAGAGTGGGGAGGAGGCCGTGGCATTGCTGGAGGAGCTCTGGGTGAGCAGGCGGCCCTGGTGGCCGTGGCTGTGGCCGTGGGAGGGACTCCACGTCACTTACAATCAGAAGCATGCAGACAAGGAAGGTGTGGTCTGTGGCTGGGTCACGGTGGCTCTTCCAAAGATGCAAGGGCGCCTCTCCAGTGTCATCTGTATACCGGGGGTCCCCAGTTCCTCCCTCAAGTAATAGCTGAGGGAAGGCCCAGCCAAAGGCTCCCTTGCCCAGAAAAAAAGCACAGCAGCCTAAAGGAAGCCTCAGGAGCCTCAGCAGCGCAGGTGGAGGGGTGAGGGTGTCTCGAAAAGATTCCCAAGCCATCCGACAGCTGGACAGGGCCAGCCAGTCCTAGCTACCGAGTGGGGAGCTATGAGCTCGGAGCCCTCAGCCTGGTGTGGTAGTTCATACACGTGAGAGGGGCTGAGGCAGGAGGGTCACGGAGCGCCGTCTGTAGCCAGACCCCCCTCTCTTTAAAAAGAACCAAAACCCCAAAGCAGAACAGAAAGTAGGGAGTGACCTCACTGTGCTGTCCAGGGTTTTTACCAGGCCTCAAGCTGGGCCACACGGTGGCTGGCCACGTGTCACTAGCCCCCTCCAGAGCCAGGCTAATCTTGTGTGGTCCAAACCCCCACCTCAGATCACTTAGTCTCTTTTAAAAAATAATTAATTAATTTTGTCTGGTCTGGGGCCTAGGCAGAAACCCCTTTTCGTAGGTATGACATTTGAAGGGTTACGTATGACATCCCAGAAGCCAGGACAACAGCCAGCCTTCTCTGGGGCCATTAAAAAAAAAAAAACTTTTAAATGGCAAATACATGTATTTAGGGGGTTGGGGGGTAGACGTCAAGCGCACCCCACCCTGCCTGTGGAGGTCACAGGGTGACCTCAGAGTGGGTTCTCTCCTTCCACCATGTGGCACTCGGGCCATCGGGCTTGTCAACAAGCCCCTTTACCTACTGAGCCATCTCAATGGCCCACCCTCCGTGTTGCCTTTAACTGAAGATGGTAAGGATATTGCTTTTAATGTGTCTGTCTAGCAGAATCTTCAAACAAACAAAAAAAACCCTCCCAAGTCGTGTGAGGCGATACACACCTATAATCTCATTATTGGGGATTAAGTTAGGAGGATTGTGAATTTGAGGCCAGCCTGGGCTACAGAGGAAGACCCTGTCTGCAAAAGAACAGCAACAAAAATCTCTTTTACTGGTCAAGTGGGAGGGTCCTCCTTACCTAGCTTATCTAAAGTGGGGAAGTCATTGTTCTAATGACTCTGCTCAGCTCCTTGGGCTTGGGCTCAGGCTCCGGTGGCATAGGCAAATCCCTTCCAGGGATGGCTTTGATGCTCATACGACCTGTCTCATTAGTGTAAAATAAATGCCAACAACAACTTAAGGGAGAAAGGGTTTTTTGGGGGGTTGACAGTCTGTCACCGAGGAGAACCCTGGTCTTCAGAGCTAGTTGCAGGACATTCAGGGCTACACACAGAGAAAAAAAAAAGTGTTCTCTGATCCCCATATGTAAACACACACACACACACACACACACACACACACACACACGGTAGAAAGAAGGTTCTGTTAAGAGCTCTTGCTGTGTCAGGTGTTGGTGGCGCACGCCTTTAATCCCAGCACTGGGGAGGCAGAGGCAGGAGGATCTCTGAGTTCAAGACCAGACTTGTGTACAAGAGCTAGTTCCAGGACAGCCTCCAAAGCCACAGAGAAACCCTGTCTCGAACCCCACCCCTACCCCCCCCCCAAAAAAAAAAAAGAAGAGCTGTTGCTGTTACTGCTGAGGACTGGCGTTTGGTTCTCAATATCCATGTCAGGTGGCTCACAACTTCCCGTCACTCCAGAGGATCACATACTGCCCTCTGGCCTCCGCGTGTGTGTGTGTGCCTGCGCGCCCACCCCAACAAACTAGAAGTAAATGTCAAAAACAAACAAAAAGCAGGCGATAGTGTTTGAGGACTGTGTGTAAGGTGTGCAGAGGGAGGTACACAGGCCACTGTCCTCTCTCAATTTGGCGCATGCTATCTCTCGTTTCAGGGCCCAGCAGCCTCCCCAGATCGGTCCTCAGCAATGAGGGCACCCCGGGATATGACGGAAGGCTCGGGGGTCACTGTTGGAAAGGAAGAAAGTGGGGCGATTCCCGTAGGTGAGCAGCTGGCCCCTTTTCCCACCCCAACATCACGGGTCCGTGTCTCCCAGGCTGAGGCAGGGACTGACCTGGCCATCTTTACTTGTTCAGCCAATGCTCCGGGGGCAGCTCAACACATGCACCCCCTGCCTTTGGGGAGCCCTCGGAAGGTGGGGTCAGACTCTTCCTAACCATCGGCCACCAGGTGCTGGTCTGCGCGTGCATGGAAAGCCCGTAGCCCAGGCTGGCACAAGTCTGTTTCCTCGGCCTCCCGCGTGCTAAGGTTACAGGCGTGCCCCGTGAGAACTGGCTGTAGTGCGTTCAGGTCCAGGGTTCCAAGGGGCCTGACCGAAGGGTGGGTGCTGCTGCTAACCCACGGCTGGGCCCCGGGCTGCCTGCTGCACATCCTATGCACCCGGACCCCATTCAGACTGGCGCCAGGGACGTGGCATGCACGTGCCTCCGCTGCCAGGTGCTGCGCCAGGGTCCCCAGCTAGGCACGGAGGGAGGCTGTGCCGTCACGTTAGGGGGAGTAGGGGGAGGTAGAGACACGGAGACAGCAGATAACGACAGAGGGTGGGGCTGTCAGACAGAAGAGGACCCCGAGTTGATGGTGTAAAACCTGCAAAAGCGAGGTCGCGTGGGCCTTCCCGGGGCTGCCCAGAGCAGATGGGAAACCCGTGTGTTTGCTGCATTCGGACCCCCTCAGCCTTGCGCAGTGCAATCGGCCCACCCGTGTGCCTGCGTGCGTGTGTGTGTGCGAGTGTCTGCATGTGAGCGTTGTGAGTGAGCGTGTGCGTGTGTGAGCGAGTGTGTGCAGGTGTACCTGGGGAATATCGCGCGCGCGTGTGTGTACCTGGGTAATATCTTGTGTGTGTGTGTGAGTGTGTGTGTACCTGGGTAATGTCGTGTGTGAGTGTGTGTGTGTGTGAGTGTGTGTACCTGGGTAATATCCCGTATGCGTGTGTGAGCGCGCGTGTGTGAGCGTGTGTAAGAGCATGCATGAGCGTGTGTGTGTACCTTCCCTCCCCACCCCCTGGGCTCTCCGCGGTTCCTAAGTCCGTGTGCACCCCACCCGTGTCTTCTGGTCCACTATGTGTGTGTGTGAGCATGTGTGTGTGAGCGTGTGTGTGTGTAAGAGCATGCGTGTGTGTGTGCGTGAGCGAGCGTGTGTGTGAGCGTGTT